GGGCTGGTGAGGGGTACTGGGAGGTTCCAGCCCCTCTGCTGGTGCCTGTCCAGAGCCCCCCATGCTGCAGGGGGGCTGTCAGTCCCCTCTCTCCACCAGCGCCAGCTCACTGGGCAGGGGGGGTCTCGCATCGGCAGGACGGGCGCTGCGTGTCCCCGGAGGAGTGTCCCTGCCACCACGGCGGGCGGCTGTACCGGCCCAACGACACCATCATCTGGGACTGCAACACCTGGTGAGACCCCCCCCCAGACCCACACCCCGGGGATGCCGTGGCTGCACCAGCACTCAGCTCTGTCCCCCGCAGCGTGTGCCAGCAGCAGCGCTGGCATTGCGGCCGGGAGGAGTGCGCGGGGACCTGTGTGGCCACAGGGGACCCCCACTACGTCACCTTCGATGGGCGAGCCTTCTCCTTCCCGGGGGACTGCGAGTACCTGCTGGCGCGCGAGACCACCGGCCTCTTCACCGTCACCGCCGAGAACGTCCCCTGCGGCACCAGTGGTGTCACCTGCACCAAATCGGTGGTGGTGGTGATGGGCAACACTGTGGTGCACATGCTGCGGGGTGAGGGGACGGGGGGGATGCAGGGATGGGTCCCCCATGGGGACGGGGATGTGCCGGCAGTCACCGCCCCTGACAGCCCACCCTGTCCCGGCAGGGAGGGACGTGACAGTGAACGGGGTCTCGGTTCGACCCCCCAAAATCTACAGCGGGACCGGGCTGATGCTAGAGCGCACCGGCCTTTTCCTCCTCCTCCTCCTCTCCCGCCTGGGGCTGGCGGTGCTCTGGGACGGAGGTGAGACCTGCTGGGAGGGCTCGGGGCCAGCCGTGCCACGGTGGGCTGCCGGTGCCAAGCGCCATGCTGTGCCACCCCAGGCACGAGGGTGTACGTCCGTCTGGAGCCGCAGCACCGGGGCCGCGTGGTCGGGCTCTGCGGGAACTTTGATGGCGACGCCGAGAACGATTTTGCCAGCCGGCAAGGGGTGCTGGAGCCCACCGCTGACCTTTTCGGCAACTCCTGGCGCCTCAGCCTGCTCTGCCCCGAGGTCAACAGCGCCGACGCTTGGCACCCCTGCACCGTACGGATGGGGACAGGGATGGGGAACCGGGGTAGCTGCACGGGGACGGTGGTGGGGGGCAGGTGGGGGGGCAGCCCCGGCGCCTGGCTGGCCAAGGGATGGCATCTGACAGCAGTGCTGGCCCCCCCAGGAGAGCCCCCACCGGGCAACGTGGGCCCGCAGGCGCTGCAGCATCCTCCGGCAGCGGCTCTTCGCACCGTGCCACGACGCGGTGCCGTGCCAGCGCTTCTACGACTGGTGCGTCTTCGATGCCTGCGGGTAAGTGCCGAGTTGGCAGCGGGCAGGGGGTCCCCCAACTGGGGGGGTGGGGGGTCCCACCACCCCCATCCCACCGGCTGTGGCACCGACCCGCCGCGCTCTGCCGGCAGCTGCGACTCCGGGGGGGACTGCGAGTGCCTGTGCACGGCCATCGCCACCTACGCTGAGGAGTGCGGCCGGCGCGGCATCCACATCCGATGGAGGAGCCAGGAGCTGTGCCGTGAGTCACTGTCCTGATCCCCGTGGGCTCCGGTCGAGGCTGGGGGGACATTTTTGGGGGGGGTCCATGCTGGGGGCTGGGCTGTGCCCCCCACGGGCTGTGCTGGGGTCTGGGTTTGGTCCCGTGGCTGATCCAGATGTGTGATGGGTCTGGGGGGGGGGGGTGGGGTCCGGGGGCGGGGGGGGGGC